ATATCTATAGTCTGAGCATGTTTATCACAAATCCTCTTCCCACATTGCAATGGAAAGTGTGTTTCAGGGAGGCAAACAGCTTTGGTTGTTTCTGTTGTCCCAATTTATTTTATTTTATTTCCCCCTGTGGAACCACTGCTTTTCCAGTTAGCTGTTGATAGCACAGCTTCCATGCCTGTGCACGTTCAGCATAACCTATGAAAAAGCCCACAAAAGCTGCTTTGTACTAAGCCAGACTGTTGGTCCATATAGGCCAGTATTCTGACTGGGCGTGGCTTTGCAAGCTATCAGTGTACTTTGTTGTTTATAACTGGATATTCCTGGGATTGAATTTGGGATTTTTCGCAAGCAAGATGTTATTTCACAGTTGGCATTATTTTGTGACATCACAGGGCCCTATTGCTTTTCTGATTATTCCACCATCTTCCCTCTCATGTATTAGTTTCTTAGTGTAATCAGTCACAGTGCAACACAAGATCTAATTATAGCAAGTAGGAAGTGGGGGAAATAATTGACAAAATTTTTGCAGCTCTCAAAATGCATGTCTGGTTAATTTTCCTTTAATCTCATTTTCACAAAATGATTCCACCTCATCTTCCAGTCTTCAGATCTGCATAACAAGTGCAATCAAGAAGACCAAAATTAATAACCATCCCCACCGCTACCCATCCAATCACTCACAAATTAAATGTGAAAAGAGCCTCTTCTGCTGTGTATGTGTGGGAGCAGGGAGGAAGGAAAAGGACCCAACCCTGCATTAAAAACGTAAGTGCATCTGTTGTCCTATTAATCTCTCTGCATTACAGCTAAATGTGAACTTGCCAATTAGAGCAGAAACAAATATTGTAATTAAATTGCTTCCTGTCTCCGTGTGTATTAGAGCAGTCTTTCTCAAACTTTTTGAACTGGGGCCCTCTTAAAAACTTTCCCAACTCCCTTGCCCCTGCCACCCAGATCCCAACCATGTGAAAAAGATACAGACATCATCCTGGCATGTAGTTGTGTGGTGCATAGAACCTGTGGCTGTAGGTAAAGATCTGTGAAACATGACATGAGAGGAAGAAGAAGTTCTCTCTGGTTATTCTCCTGAAACCATTCTGAAGGATATCTTGTAAAAAGAAAGCAGTCTCCACCACAAATCCACACCCAATTAGTGATGCATAAGTGTAGTTTTTCTCATTCTAGAAGAGTTCATGCTCATCCTCAACATGCTGCTTTTAATCTGGATTGAGTCTAGATCCTGTTGTCTACATTGGTGGGTGTGCTTACTTGAATAAATGTACACGCTGCAGGGTGATGCAGAATCAATTTGCAACAAGCTTTTGTTTTTGGAATGAAACCAATTTCTCAAGATGCACTTTTCAGGGTTCTGGGCAAAAAATATATATACAATAGATCTAGATTTATGTGCGGATTGTGTAGGGGGAAAAGCAAGTACCCAGTCTCCATTGAAACTAGAATAAAATGTTGGGTGTATGCTGCCCAATGTGAATTGATGGGGGTTGTCTGCCAGAAGTAATTCAATCCATACAAAATCTTGAAAGCTGGGAAGGAAGGCATCCACTGCTGTTCTCTCTGTAGAACTTTGCACTTTGGAGAACATGGATTGCCAGTATTTTGGGACCCATGCACACATTTGCAAACCTAAGCTGGAATCCAACATGGCAGCCTGCTTTCACTCACTTGATGTAGCTTCACCACTCACCTGTGGTTGCTGACCCAGGGGTTGAAGACTATTTATATAGACATTGTTCTCCATGCCACCGCCCCAGTCCATATGTTATTCCTGCTATGAAATATAGGTCCCCCTGCCTCTCAAATTTCTATAAGGCTTCACACAGCCAAGCTCCCAGAGCAATTAACAATAAGAAGAAAAATGGTTCCAGTATAACAGCAAACTTGTGTTTAGAGCCCCCAGGAGAACAAGAGCTGGATAAAAATGTGGCAAGATGGATGTCCCATTGGAGGCAATAGCTATAGACTGCAGCTGGGGAGGATCAGGGTAGAAAGTGGACTTCATTGAGTTGTATGTGGGTCATGTTATGTACCGAAGTTCTCACCCTGGGCCAGCAGAGGAATACTGTAGAAAGTTTTCACTCAGGTCCGCATATGCAAATAAGGAATTGAAAGTGACGTTCATTGATTGGATAGTTACAGAAAGTTGTTACTGTTGCTTTGTAGTTGAGCTCTATATAAGCAGGTTGGCTGAACCCTTCAGTTCAGTTCTGTTCTGGCCTGTAAATAAATAAGAGCTGTTTGAAGAATCGCTGTGTTGTCTGATATTTTCACCAACAACTTAACAGGTCATCTCCTGCATACACCATGCAAGGCAATGGATCAGATACAGTGGTACCTTGGGTTAAGAACTTAATTCGTTCTGGAGGTCCGTTCTTAACCTGAAACTGTTCTTAACCTGAGGTACCACTTTAGCTTATGGGACCTCCCCCTGCCGCCATGCGATTTCTGTTCTCATCCTGAAGCAAGGTTCTTAACCGAGGTACTATTTCTGGGTTAGCCGAGTCTGTAATCTGAAGCGTCTGTAACCCAAGGTACCACTGTAAATGATAAGTGAAATGATAAATTCACTATGTATCTATGCCACTGGGCAGAGGTTTATTCTTTACACAAATTGCCAGCATGGGGTTCTGATTTGGGTTGGGGCCTTAACATGGCATGAGTGCATGTATATAAGAGACTTTAACTCCCGTGCCACCCTGAGCGAGCCTCCTGCACCTGTAATTTGCATTGGTAAAAACTTTCCATTTCCTTAAATGGGAGCAAATGTTTGCAATACATCTTGGGGTCCTCCAGCGCTGATTAGCATACAGCAGAAGACAAAGTGTTAAAAGTCCATTGTGCTATAGTCCTGATCAGGACTGCTGCCCTCCATGCTGGCAATTTTCTAACCAAACGTGCCCTTAAGGGCACAGATACGGAGATACCATATTGTGTAGTTTGACCCCCTTATTCACATAATATTGCACTATCAAGGTGTTAAGAGGCTCTGAGTGAATGCTCTCTGATTTATTGGTCAGAACTCACCCCCGCCTTCACCCACCCAAATGCTAATGTTTCGCCTGCTGCGAGGAAGATAGCGGACTTTGTGGTAGTTTAGTAGGAAATTGAACATAATGAGCATTGTTGAAATCACCCAGTACTGTTGCAAATTGCAACATAATACATTACCTTACATGTGTTTCCTTTTCAGAACATGCTGGTCTAAAGGACTGAGTTCATGAATAAAATACATTATGATGAATTTGGAAGTTTAAACTCTGTGTGTGCATGGGGTATGTGATTTTGTTTTATTTTCCACCATTTTTCAAGAGGCTAGTTCCCTCCCTCCCTCTTTCTTTCTTTCTTTCTTTCTTTCTTTCTTTCTTTCTTTCTTTCTTTCTTTCTTTCTTTCGTGATCTTGGCATGTATGCTGACAATGTCAAGAAGGCCTGATGCAAAACCTGTGTCTTATAGCCACAGCCACATGTTTCATACAGTCTTGACAGTTTATACTAGGCATTAGGATCAGAATTGCGCCCACTGACCCTATCCCAGCCCCAATCTCCACACATGGATCATTTCTGTGCATTGAGCAATCAAAAGGTTACAGCAGGTATAAGAAACGACTGTACAGATCTAGGGGCTTAATGTGCCCCTTCAGACCTCTCTGTATTGCCCTTGTAATGCTCCCAAATCCACAGACATTGTTGACCATGCTCTGCACTCTCATAATGTGCTTTTGCTGGCTAGAATGTGTTCTTGGGCTGGTATCAGGACCAGGCTGCCCATGAGGCACACTGAGGCAGCTGCCTCATGAGTCTGAATCCCGTGAGACTTCTGGTGAGATCTCTCGAGAGTTCCACAAGATCTCATGAGCCTATCAACTGGAAGCCACTGCCACATAACCCTGGTAAGCAAGCCTTCAGTGGTGGGGCAGTGGTGGAGCAGGGGCAGCAGGGAAGTGGCACCTTCCCATTCACCTCAGGCGGCAAAGCGAGATAGGCCGGGCCATGCCTGACTGTGATAATGCTCCTTGCTTTGCTGAATGGAGGATGATCAGGCATGTGTAAAACCTTTAACTCCGCATGGCTGGAATGTGGCCTCCTGTACAATACTGGTTGGAAGCCCCTGGGAGGTTGTCCACAAGGGAATGCAGCCCTGGGTTGGAAAAAGGGTTCCCCACTGCTGGGTTACAGAGTCCTCAGCCAGCTGCCAGCATCCACACCAGAGCTTACACTCACATTTTGTGAGAAGTGGAATTTGGCTCAAGAAGTCTTGAGACAGGCAATCCAGTACTGATCCCCTGACAAGAGTACCTGTGTGGTACATGTGCTTTAGGACACCTCTTGGCCACATCAGCCCTAAATGTCAGTGTGTAAATATAGTTCCTTTATTTAGCCTCGGACAGCAGTTGAGATATAGCTGAAGCCATGATATGAAGCACTCTGATGTGAAGCACTCTGAGAGGCACGAGTTAAATCTCCCGTTAAGCTCGTTGAATATCTGTGGCGTGGGTTTTCAGAGACACCTTTCTGAGGAACACAAACTAGAAACAAATTAGGTTTGTTCAGAGGACTTTTCCGATCTTCCTTTCCTAAATTTAATTTAGTGATCTAGCTGTTAGTGGCTTTGAGTCTCATTCCCAGCCCACTGAGCCATTTTGTTGCCTGAAACTAGAGTCCTGGTGACCCATAGCTAAGGAAGTTAGAAAAAGTACAGTGAACACAGGCTCTGCCCTCCTCATCATTGAAATGTATATTAGACTGTCATGGAGTGAGGGGCCATTGTCAAGATAAGTGTGCTTATTTCTTACATCGCTGCTGGAGGACATTTTGTCTTTGGTGCTGAAATGTTTTTCTTGCCAAGGTTTACGTGGGGGACAATTAGAAGAACAAGACATACATTATTTAACTTTGGAAAGCAAGAGCTCTTTTAAAAAACCACGTAGGAGAGTGTTTGATGTTACTATAAGAGGTTTCCCACTCATTGAACTGAACAGCAGATCTCTGGCAGTGTCAAGGTTTCATTTATTTACTTCAGCAAAGAATATAATAATTACGCAGTGTGCAGCTGGATGGGATTCAGATCCATTTAATTCTTCTTCTTAAAGACTTGATGGCACACCTGGTCTTCGCATGTCAGCTCCTACAACATTAAAACCATCGGTAAGCACAGACAATTCCCTTCCAGACTTGCAGAGAAAACAGCTAAGCCAGAGCATTAACGGCGGGGCGGGGCTATTAAAAGGGAAAGAGCAGCATATTTTATATAACCAATCAGCCAGCAAGCACTACAGGTTGCAGTAATTAGATTCTGACACTTGAATTGACTTTTACAAAGGATAAAAATGGGGAAATGCATAGGAATTGCTCTGTAACTGTGGGACGTTGCATTGTCTATTATTAACCAACATACTGTAATTTATTAAACTCACTGAAGCAACAAGGAAATTGCAAAAGGAGAGAAGGAAAAGCTTTAAAGGTAACAGGAGTTAAGTATAACACTTTGTCAATTGGTTTCCCAACAAAATGTGGATCTTTTCTCAGAATGTTATACCAACCCTAACAAATCCAGTCAATGAGATTACTAGCCAATTCTGAAGTTGTTTCATAACAATATAAAGCAAGTCTGGCACAGAACAGGATAAGATTCTGGTTTCTGCAGGGATGAAGTCAACCCAATGGTAATTTTGTACATCTTATTGACCTTCTTTTGCTAAAAGTGAAGCCAGAATTGTATGATCGTGAAAAGAATAGAAATGAGTAGGTAGCTTCCTATTGTAAGTCTGTGAAATTAATCCCTCATCCCTTTAGACTGGCCCCTCAGAGTTTGCAAATAGTCGGTTTTGTATTAAAGTGAGCTATGCAGGCTTGGATAGTGACAATGTAAACAGAGGTAAGGTAAAGGTACCCCTGCCCATACGGGCCAGTCGTGTCCAACTCTAGGGTTGCGCGCCCATCTCACTTAAGAGGCCGGGAGCCAGCGCTGTCCGGAGACACTTCCGGGTCACGTGGCCAGCGTGACGAAGCTGCTCTGGCGAGCTGGCACCAGCGCAGCACACGGAAACACCGTTTACCTTCCCGCTATAAAGCGGTACCTATTTCTCTACTTGCACTTAAGGGTGCTTTCGAACTGCTAGGTGGGCAGGAGCTGGGACCGAAAGACGGGAGCTCACTCTGCCGCGGGGATTCGAACCGCCAACCATGCGATCGGGAAGCCCTAGGCGCTGAGGTTTTACCCACAGCGCCACCCGCGCCCCAAAACAGAGGTAGAATGTTGCAAAAAATAGCAGTGGGATTTTTTAATTCTAAACATAATTTGCAAAGGTGTTTAGTTTTTTTTATAAAAAAAATTGGATTCTTTTCTTTTTTCAGTTAAGTTCATATGGATAAGCTACTACCCTATGGTTCTTCATCTGGAAAATGGGGATAATAATCTATCGTGCAAAGCTTGTATCAGGGTGAAAGGGAAAGTACCACAAGCTAATGAATCATATGACTTATACTCCATGGTCCTCATTTTTAAATTAGTAATTTAATTTAATTTAATTTCTAATATCATCTCCTTCACCCCTGAGGTTTGGAGAAAATCGTGATGTGTCATGAGGCACTGCAATGTTGATGAAGGCTGCCAAATTCTGTTTTTATATGGAATCCATCAGCAGATTTTTCAGTCCACCTGTGATAAAACTTTGACTAAGGGACTAACTGGAATCTGGTGAGTGTCCACCATTTAGTATTGTTAAGCGTTTGTGGGTTCCTTGACTCCCCTAAATTCCTGTGTCTAGTGGGCATTGTATTATCAAGATGGACTATTAAGATGGGCTGCCAGACACTGAATTTAACAGTGTGAAAATACAGGCCAAAGCAGTTTTTCTGTGCTCAGGAAAACACATGGGAGAAAAGCTATTATGGAGAACAAAAGAAAGGTAAGGGGTGATTAACAAAGCAGATACTCTGTGCCGGAGGGTAGATGAGCGCAAGCCCCTCCTTCCACTGACAGACAAAGTGTCAGTCTGTGAAACACAGCAAGCTAAGTATAGGGACAAAAGGCCATGTTTGATCTCTTTGGATCCAGCAGTGGGAGAAACAGAACCCTCTTGGAGCGTAATGCATTGACCTCTCCATCATAGGCTCAGGTTGTATATGTGTGTAAATAAGCCATATATCATAAAGACACCACAGTTTCCACTGTGCCTCATTTCCAAAGGAAACACAAACACTAGGTAAGTGTCTGGAGTACAGGAATCTTGGACCACTCGGAGATTGGGGTGACATGTAACAGAAGAGCCTTGCTGGATCAGACCAAAGGATAACCTAATGCAGCATCCTGTTGCCATATTAAACTACTGTACTAGGACCATATCAAGCTACTAGAACTTATTGGAATGTACTGGAATTCAAGCGATCTGGTTATAAGGTTTGTTGAATTTGGATTCCAGAAGATGTTTCAAATGTTTTAGGGATCAGGGTGAAAAAGTGCCACTTCTAAACTTGCTCTGGAATGGTGGGACTTAGAGGGAAGAGGAAGGGCATCCTTCAGGTAGGTGATTCAGAAGTCTACCTAAGAAGTTTGCAAGCCTGTGGTTGCACCTAAAATAACTTTGGATTCTGGGCAAGGACTGTAAAAATGTATACATTCGGAAGGTAACATTAAACACAGTTGTTTAGAGCAGTGATGGGGGATCTAAGGCTTGAAGCCAAATAAGGCCCGCCAGGACTATCTATCTATCTATCCCTCAGGAATCCCCTGAGTCCATAACTCCTTTTCATCCCCTTCCCTTCATCCCAGACCACACTTCCAATTAGCTTGGCTTTGCACTTCCTTGAGTGTTTTTGCCTGGCTAGAATGTGTCCTTGGACTCTGAAAACTGAGAGGAGTGTGTGTGTGTGTGTGTAAAGCCTACTGTAAAAAGATAAAATTAACATTTGCTGCTCCATGAGCTTTTGTTTCTCCCCCAGCCCCTAGCAGTGACATATGGCCCCCGGAGGGTTTTCATATAAGGGTATGTGCCCCTTCAGCTGGGAAAAAATCCCCCCATTGCACTAATTTTCAATTAAATGTGTTTAGAACAGGGATATGGAAAGTATTTGAGAAAATTATTAACTCATCAAGCCATCCTGTTCTACATGGAGAAGATGTGCAAAGCCATTAGGGATTATGCGGCTAGATCCATATCAGAGGAAGTAAACATGCAGGTTCATTTCCAAAAGCTATGTGTGTTTGTCCGCTGAAGATCTCCATCTCCTTTGCCTGTTCATTTAGTTCACTGAGGCTTGTGCCCGTAAAGAGCTTTGAAAACTGAATTGGAATGCTTTGGTTCACCCAAGTCTGCCTGTTCACTTTCCCGATTGTTCTTTCGAGTCTTCTTAATATGTAAACTCTCATTTATTTTTTCCATACTTCACTGACTGCTTATTTTCTTTACAGGCCCCTGTAGCCCCACTCAAGCTTACTACATGTCAGGCTTGGACTTCATTTACTAACCCAGCTGTATGAACTCAGCTTTTCCAGTGGCACTAAATTATACGCTTTAGAGATTGTATATATCGGGTGCCTGATGGTTATTCTGAGAGCAATTTTCTGACCTGCTTTTCTGCATCATTCTTCTTACAACCCCCCAAGAACATATTTTCTGTAGGTAAATAATACTCCTGATAGCTTCAAATTAGGCAGAGGCAAATATATGCCTTTGTTCATTATGGCAATGATATGCTAGGAAGGGAAGCCAGGCTCAGAATAGTCAACATGGGCAGCGGCTCTCTGGGGTTCCCAGCCCCCTGGAGACACCAGGGCTTGAACCTGGGACCTGCTGCATGCAAAGCTACAGCCCTTTGCCCAAGTTACTGAATTTTCCTGCAGTACTGCTATTGGTATATCTTTCATGAATGATTTCAGCTCTTACCAGATGCAAATTGTCCCCTTCAATCCAGTGTTTCCAGCCTCTGTTATTCTTTTCGCCTTTCTGGACACAGATTAGTTTATCACCATCCCAGGTCACCAGCGTCTGTAGGGATCAAATGATAAAGTTCAGCAACATGGTAGAAACGTGTGAGGCTAAAAACTAAAAACAAATTGGAATAATCTGGAGTCAGGGTGACATAATGGCAGCATAGAGTTGGTCGGGGTGGGGGGTGGGGAGAGGGAACACATAACAAGCAAATACCACCCCCCTCCCCTCTCTCCCAGCTCCCCAAATTTAAGTAGAAAGCCTATAGTGTCACTAAAAGTGTTTTATGTTTTCAATTCCCGGCTATTTCTCCTGACACAATGATCCATAATATACGCACAAAAGAAGATAATTAAATAAAGTGAATTTATGACGGGATTTGTCTCCAGAAAGGGGAGCACAGATATGAAATTTGCATTATTCCGTTCTCCCTCAGAAGAAAGCCACAAACGCACTGCAAAGCACAGCAGCAGGAAAAGCCATGGATCATTTTAACTGCTACAACATTAATACACATGCACATGCACTTCTGTTGTGGATGCGGAGGGCATATTGGGAGGGAAAAGATGGTTCACAGCAGCTTGGATTCACAGCTTTTGCATAGGAGCATCTTCTAATATGTAAATGGTCCCCAAATTTATTTTCAGGCTAACCAGAACAGGTGTTTACTGCTAGAATAATGCTGGGGGCGGGGGGTGGAGAGAGAGACAGAAAGGAAATGGAAGGAAGGGTGGAGTCAACCTTATCATGGTCAGACTACTACGAAAGACAGTGCTCTGAGTGCAAACAAGAGGCATCTTGGAGCCACTCCTCAGCTGGAAGTGCAATAAGAAGAATGGGAATGCCCTGATCACAGCTACTATAGTAGTGCAGGCACACACCAGAGGAGATATTTGAATTATAGTCTCTTTCTTCCTTTCTTTCATTTGAGTGCTGCTTCACTACAATTGTGAACGGGAGAAAAACATGATCTCTGTACATTCTGTAGTTGTCTGGCAATATCCCACATTCTCTGCACTGAAAAGAACAGATTGCAAAAGAGCAGCTCTCTTTAAAAATAATTAATTCCTGAGCCTCCTGCAAAAACAGCAGTGTGTCAGTGGGGGAATATCGGGCAGAAATCATCTTGATAAGAAATCAGATAGAATTATAAAAGAAATAAGATGCTTTTTCTACTCTCCGTCAGATAACAACAGTGACGATAGGAGAAAATTGAGGTTATTGAAAGTTCAGGGAAGAGGCAGTTTTCTACCCGAGACAGGACTGGTAAAGGATAGCTTTGACAGAGGTATAAGGAGCATGCTGTGATGTCAGGGCATGAAAAGGTCACAGATAATAGGAAAGATGCTGGCTATGAGCAGCATACTCCTCCACATTATCTTGGGGAGGGGAGAGGAAATGATTTGGCTATTGTAATGCTTGCCATTCTGTTTTAGCTCTGTAGATACCAAACGGTGTAGGCACAGATTAGGTTACAATCAGGAATAAAACGTAATCCAATTGGGGGAGAGGGAAGCTACCCACTGAAAAGTAGCTATATGGGAAACAAGACCTTGGCTTGAGAGTTGCTTCACAGAGAGCTCAATTCAATGGATGGAAATGGATTGAAATAAAAATTGCCTCAGAATCAGACCAATATCTTCTGAGAGACAGATCAATGCAATTATCTTCCCTCAAGGGAAATCCAGAGAGTCTCCCCCCCCCCCCCAGAAGAGTGGCCAGATCTTACTGTCGGGAAAAGAGTAACAACAACAACAAAACACAGGAACTAACTTTTCCATAATAGTAGAGCCAGCCCGTCCATGAGGCATACTGAGGCAGCTGCCTAAGGCTGTGGAATCAGTGGGACTCCCTGCCTTGCCCCTGCCACCACCTGAGAAGTGAGGAGAGGTGATGATGGATGCTTCTGGCATCTCATGGAACTCTTGTGATCCTGGCAAGTGAGGCTTCAGAGGGAATGTTAGGGCAGCAGGGCGGCAGCACACTCCCATTTCACCTCAGGTGGCAAAACTAGATGTTCCATCCCTGCATATAAGGTCAATATGGGCATAACTATCTCACAGCTTGGTAAATGATGAATAAACCTATGGGCATTTCTATTATTATTATTATTATTATTAACCAGTTACAATTTTGACAGCACTGCTTGTCTTCCATATTATAATTTTCTCCTCAGAACCAGGAACAATGGAGGAACTAGGGAGAACTTCAGGTGAAGACATCCTCTCCCCTCTCTAAAACTGTGCAAATGTGACTTGAAACACAGAGGGGTGTGTGTGTGTGTGTGTGTGTGTGTGTGTGTTTGACCTCACTGGATTTTAATCCACTAAAGTGAACATACGCATACTCTCCAGCTGTGACATAGCCGTTCCTATTCAGGAAAGGCCATTGGACTCCACTAGACAGGAAAGCGTATAAAGTCTTCCTATTTGAACAAGAGCATTCATGCACTAGCCACAAGGTCTTCTTGGCTTTTGATGTGCAGGCCCCTCAACTTTCTGGCTCTGCACCTGGCTCACAGTTCTGGCCCACCACTGACTATGATGCAGCCCTAACTAGGACACAGTTTGCATCAGGCTCACTTGACTCCTGGGACTCAGCTATACAGCTGCAAATAAAATGTTTTAAGTGTGTTTTAATTGTGATATTACAATGTGACACTAGATGATAATGGTGAGCCTTATGGAAAATTCAACGCATTTTTTTAAAATGCTTTTTAAAAAGCATTTTCAGAATGGTTTTTATGTGTGTATGGATTCCACTCTGGTTAAAAAGTTCTCCAGAAACAGGGAGCTACAGGGGAAAAAAATAAACTAACATGAAAAAAATGTGCCACCACAGGTAGAATGGTCATATGCAGTAGCTCAGCAGTTGCTTCCACCAGAAAGCGGGATTTGCTTTAGCCTGTGGGGAGTCTGGAGGAGCCAGTGGGGGATATATAAGTATCAGGTGGAACCATGAGGAGTTGAAAAAATAATTCTGTCTTGCTGTCAACAAGCTGAAAAACTGTCATGATTTACATATGGAATAAATAGTTGCAATAGAAAAACATCCACGTTTTGAAATGCAAATAGCTGCTTCTTTATAAATAAACATTTCTTTAACATTTATAATTTGCTTTCAACCTGTTTTCTTGAATGTCAGGTGCTGGTGTTGACTGCTGTGTAAATGGAAAGCAAATCATAAGTTTCTACCTTCACCACTCGGTCATCAAGCCCCTTGGTGTGCTCTTCAAATTCCTCTCCTACGGTGTAATTCACTTCATAGTTCCTGAAAGTGCTCAGCGTTTTTGTCTTGAAATGGTTTCCCTCTTGAATAATTTCTTTCGTTTGTGTCAGGTGGTTTGCAATCTTTCTCGTAGCAAGGCCAATGCCTGCAGACACACCAATAAATATGTTAACAATGGGCCTGATTAACTTCAAACATACATTTATAAACAATAAAGTAATGTGTGCCCAAAAGGACTTTCTGCTTTCGGGGTGTGTGTGTGGAGTATTACATCCTGGGCCATATGATACTGCCGGTATACAACTATCAGATTCCATCAGCATAAGGATTACTGTTTACATAATGGAACTTTCCACCCCTTCTTTCCCCATGTGTAGCCCATCTGCTCTGGAGGGTTGGAGAGTTCCCATAACAGGTTTAGAGGGTGCAAAGGGGGAGAAGGGGGGGAGATTATTTTGCACAAGCGGCAATCCTTGTGCTGATGGAATACATTACAGTTGTACCTCGGAATCGAATGGAATCCGTTCCAGAAGTCCGTTCGACTTCCAAAATGTTCGGAAACCAAGGTGTGGCTTCCGATTGGCTGCAGGAAGTTCCTGCAGCCAATCGGAAGCCACACGACCTGCTTTGGATGTTCAGGTTTGAAAGAACGTTCGCAAACCGGGTTTGTGGCATTTGGGAGCCAAACCGTTTGACTCGCAAGGCGTTCATCAACCAAGGTACAACTGTACTTAGCACTGCTGTGGAAAGATCACTCGTATGAATTGCACTTGTGCACATGTTTAACTGTTTAGCCGGATTGTAATCTAAGGCAGTCCTCTGCGCACTTATCAAGAAGTAACTCACTTTGGCAGAAAGCTGGTAGATATAGAAATAGATTAGATCAGGCTTCCTCAACCTTGGCCCTCTAGATGTTTTTGGCCTACAACTCCCATGATAGCTAGCAGGACCAGTAGTCAGGGCTGCTGATTCTTCTAGACCTGTCAGCAGCCTTCGACATGGTTGATCACGAACTCCTGGACCACCGCCTTGCCGACGTGGGGATCCAGGGCACAGTCCTTCAATGGCTGCGCTCGTTTCTCTCCGGTCGGGGACAGAGGGTGGCGCTTGGGGGAATTGTCATCCCGCCACTCCTTGGTGTGTGGAGTGCCTCAGGGTGCGATACTCTCCCGATGCTTTTAACATCTTTATGCGCCCTCGCCCAGCTTGTCCGGAGTTTTGGGCTGGGTTGCCATCAGTATGCCGATGACACCCAACTCTATCTGTTGATGGATGGCCATCCTGACTCGGCCCCAGACACACTGACCAGATGTTTGGAAGCTGTGGCTGGATGGTTACGCTGAAGCCGGTTGAAGTTAAATCCTTCAAGACAGAGGTCCTCTGGCTGGGACGGGACGATATGGGATTGGGGGCAACTCCCATCTCTTGCGGGGTGCAATTAGTGCCAGCACCGTCCGTTAAGAGTTTGGGTGTAATCTTCGATACCTCCTCTCTATGGAGGCGCAGATTACAGCTATAACAAAGGCGGCATTTTTCATCTCCGCCAAGCTAAGCAGTTGGCCCCTTATCTCTCTCGCCCTGACCTAGCCACTGTGATCCACGCGACGGTCACCTCCAGACTGGATTATTGTAACTCGCTCTACGTGGGGCTGCCCTTGAGACTGACCCAGAAACTCCAGCGGGTGCAGAATGCCGCGGCGAGACTCCTTATGGGGTCTTCGCTGCGAGATCACATTCATCCGGTACTATACCAGCTGCACTGGCTCCCGGTGGAGTACAGGATCAGGTTTAAGGTGCTGGTTTTAACCTTTAAAGCCCTATACGGCCTAGGACCCTCGTACCTACGGGACCGCCTCTCCTGGTATGCCCCACAGAGGAACCTACGGTCTGCAAATAAAAACATCCTGAAGGTCCCAGGCCTCAGAGAGGTTAGGCTGGCCTCAACTAGAGCCAGGGCTTCTCGGCTGCGGCTCCAATCTGGTGGAACGCTCTATCACAAGAGACTAGGGCCCTGCGGGACCTGACATCTTTCCGCAAGGCCTGCAAGACAGAGTTGTTCCACCAGGCCTTTGGTCAGGGCCCAGCCTGACTCCCACCTCCGGCAACCTGCACAGAACTTTGCTTAACGGTTGCCATTAATTTGATTTTAATTAATTTTTATAATGAAATGTTTTAGAATGTTGGATTATTTGATTGTTTGATTATTTGTTTGTTGTTAGCCGCCCTGAGCCTGGCTTTGGCTGGGGAGGGCGGGATATAAATAAAATTTATTATTATTATTATTATTATTATTATTATCTGACTAGCAATCTTGGCCATTGGACTGCTGGCTTGTGGCCAGATTCGCTGCATGAGCAAATATCGCCACGGAACAGGGTGTCCTGACTGCTGAGATGCTGCAGGGACACCCTGGCAGGATGACAGGCGGTAGTATAAACATTTAAGATCTAGGTACAACATGCTGCTTAGATCATTGAAACATGGTCTCAGTGACTGGTGGGGAGTGGGGGTCAGAAGTCCCTCTTGTACTTAGGAAAAATAGTGTGGCTAATGATCCATAAGTTCAATTAAAACAACCTTCCTTGCTTGAACAATCCACCCTCAACAATTTATGATGCAGATCAGGAGTTAAAATACAGGGACAACTGTGACACATTTAGGGCCACTTTTCTGCTGTTAATGCAGAGATGGGGAGGGGGAGATATTTTCCAGAGGCACCACCTGTCTTTCAGGTTGTTGATTATGTCACCAAATTGTGAGCACAGAGAGCTTATAAATGTTACCATACAAGATTCCAGCTGCAGCCCTATGCACACTTTCCTAGGAGCAAGACTTAGTCATCCTTACCTTACTACTCAGTAGATGTGCATAGGATTGTACTGCAAAGTAGGTTTTCTGACCCATTTGCAGTTTAGGTCAGTGCAAATCACCTGTGTCTTTCAGCTATAGAATGCCTGTTCAATGATCTCTCATATATAGCATAGGTGTTGAAATATGACTGACAAATTCTTTTGTACGAGAGAAAGAGAAAAGAAAACCTTCAAAGAGAAATGTTTGAGATAAAACGTACTTGCTATTCCACTGTATTCACTGGGCTTACTTCAAAATATATCTGCTTAGAAATGGCTTGCTATAAAGGCAAAAGTTAATGTTGAATTAAATCTTATTCATTTATTTTTAAATTAAATGTAGAACAAAGTATCCCACCAATTCAAAATTCTTATTTTTATATTTACCTAAAGCAACCATGTAACCTTCGAAGTTGTCATTGGATACCATCACCCACGTTCCAGTGTAATCAACAGGCATTGCGGCTAGGAGTTAAATCCAGGGATGGCTCAGATATGGAACTTGGAAAGGAGAAAGAGCTTACTGTAATTCTGTCCTTTTTATATTTCTTTGGGTGAAGTTTACAGCTTCCAAGATAATAAAGTCTAAGGGTCAGCGAGATAACCTAAACAGAACTTTCCCTTCATTACCAAGGTTCAAGAGGACAAAGCAGAGGCAGCAAACAGATTTCTGAGGTTAGAGGTCAGAGAGAAAATGATGTTGCAATGACCTTTGTAAAATATAAAAGAAGAGAAGAGAAACATTGATGGGAGCACAGCTCTGGAAGATGGACTACATAATATCAAGTTATATGAACCTGATTGTGTGTGCTTATTCAGAATTTCCTTAACTCCTGTTTACATTCTGTGGATGTTCTGGATGTATGAAAAATCCAACATTTACTTTTAATAGAAATGGTCACGATACTGTGTCATCCAAACAGAAAGAAAGACACAGAAATCACATAAAGGACAAGAAAAGATCTTCTGCAAGTTGAAGGCTGATTGTAAGAATTTGCTGCCAAGGAGTGTGGTGGAGTCTCCTTCTTTGGAGGTCTTTAAGCAGAGGCTTGACAACCATATGTCAGGAGTGCTCTGATGGTGTTTCCTGCTTGGCAGGGGGTTGGACTCGATGGCCCTTGTGGTCTCTTCCAACTCTATGATTCTATGATTCTATGATTCTAAGAAAGGCACAACCAGCCATTCCCTGCCTGTTTTGAGCTCCAAGTCACCACTTGTGCAAATGTTTAGTGCTGGGATAGTCAATGTGATGCCCTCCAGATGTTGTCAGACATGGTAGGAAATTAAAATGCTGGTTCCTGCCTGGGAAGGATGAGAGCATTGATGCTGCGGGCTACTGCCACCCCCAAACAGCAACTTGTCTGTCACACTCCTCCAATGTAGGAGGTGGTCCATTCCTTCTCCAGGGCAGCTGGGGAAATGAACTAGTAGGAGGGACAAAAGAGGCACCTGTACTGTTGGGCCCTAGCAGGGTGTTTAGGTTCCAGCAGCTGTCCAAGGAGGCCAGGTGCTGAAATAGACCCTACTACTGCAAACCACTGAGCCTTGGGCTTGCCGATCAAAAGGTTGGCAGTTCGAATCCCCGCGACGCGGTGAGCTCCCGTTGCTCGGTCCCAGCTCCTGCCAACCTAGCAGTTCGAAAGCACACCAGAAAGTGCAAGTAGATTAATAGGTACCACTCTGGTTGGAAGGTAAACGGCGTTTCTGTGTGCTGCTCTGGTTTGCCTGAAGCGGCTTAGTCATGCTGGCCACATGACCCAGAAAAACTGTCTGTGGAGTGGACAAATGCCGGCTCCCTCAACCTGTAAAGCGAGATGAGCACCACAACCCCAGAGTCGTTCACAACTGGACTTAAATGTCAGGGGTCCCTTTACCTTTTTTTACTCCTCACCAGCACCAATCCTATGACATTATGGTCCAGACTGAAATAGCAACTGCAATTATCGAAAAGCTAGATACAAATATATTGATTGTATTTCCATTCTGCTTTCCACTGAAGAGAATCCCAATACAGCTTACAAGCGATAAATAACAACAGCTGCAGCACTGAACACCAGCTGTTGCAATGCTTGGGCCATTACTAAGCTGACCCCACTAAGTCGGGTAATAAAATTAGGAAATCCACAAGAAAACAATTATAAGTAATTGTAGTCTATACAAAAAGATGAACAAAACAGAGCTAAAAAGTAGTCTAAAAGTTGCTGCCTTCACCCATACTCCACCACACCTGCTATCTCAAATATCAGTTACTCTACTCAGTTCAATGAAATACACTGCCCCACACAACTCTGCCTGGCACTTCTGACTTATGACTGAAAATCTCTTGCTTCGCTTGCTTATAAATTTGTGATTCCTCCGCTAGGCTTTTATGGACCCCTGTGTGAGTAGCTTGCGGTTCCTTTGGTGTGATAATGTTGGCGTTGTGGCTAGTGATCCACACAAACACAAGGTGTAATATTTGAATTTTAATGTCTCATGCATCTAGTCTTGTTCTTTACAACTGTTGTCAAAGAAGCTGGCCAAGTGACCCAATATCGCATGTTCAGGTGCTTTCTTGCCAAGTTGCTTTCCTTATTACTATAATAGCTCCATCCAACAACACAACCCTGGAAGCATTTGCTTTGCACTTTACAGCAGGGCTCAGTAGCTTCCTTTCGGATGGAGATACCGCTGAGGTCAGCTTCAGGTTTCATTAAAGTGACTCCTTGCTATCACAGGTCTCCAGATACAATGCTATTTTCTTTCTGCTTGCAGCTGCAGACATACCGAAGGAGGGCAGGGGGAGCTTATATCATAAGATGCAGGCACTTGTCAGAAGGTCTCTGAAAACAAATTGTAACATACTAAAAGCAATACGGGAAGCTACTTTCATGGCATTTTGAAGTAAGCGAAGAGGCAGGAGAACTTAATAAACCCCTGTGTTACTTCTGATTTCATTGAAACGAAGTGATACTTGAGAATGAATTCCATGACATTATGTGGAATTGCCCTGCTTTCCTCAGTGGCTTAAAGAAATATTTGGCCCTGCTAACCAAAAGATCTGTTGCCAAATACACGGAAAGCATAAAAAGTGGAGTTGAATCTCACCCTCTGAAGTCAGAGGAAATGTGGCATTCTCCTGCTGTCCCACACACTCTCTATCCTAAATCCAGAGATTCCCTATGCAACTGGTAGAGCTTTCCTCTTCAGATTTTCAAAGCATAGGGAATCTCCAGATCTAGAAAGCACAAAGTGTGGGGCAGCAAGAGTTGGAGGGGGCTGCTGCATGGACCAGGGGTAATGAAAAGGAGGCCTGAGGGTTCAGAATCCACATAAGTTGAGATATGGGTGGCCCTCTGTCATACTTATTAATGTCAGTGGGGCTACTCTGAGTAAAACTCAGTTGCATATCACCCATGTGAAAGCTGGGCAAACTGGATATGCTCAGCAAAGGGAAAGTTAGAGAGACATGTCAGTATTTACACATACACGAAAACACAAAGCATCACTGCATATTTTACAAGCAAATTAACAAGTCAGAAAAATACCCTGACAATTAAGATTAGCAAGAAAATGGGACAAAGCCAGTTGAAATGGAGGGATTTTAAAGCAAAGGCTGATGAAATTCTGGCAAGGATGCTTTTGGGACGACGCTTTCTGCTTTTGCAAAAAGGTTTGTACTATCCCAGAGTCCCATTCCAGTTTTTATTTTGCAGTTAGTTTCCTCACAAGTGAATCAGAAATTTTCATAAAGGGATTTCCTTCATTCATACCCTGTATGTAATTGTTCTTAATTGCTAATTTGTAGCTGGTTTCCTTCGAGGTGTGTGGGTTTCTTTTTCTTTCGTTTTTCAAAAAGATGAGCTCTATTTCAGGAATTCCCTACACATGTATTTACTCAACACTAGCACCAGCTCCTTTGTGCCTTCTGAGGCATGGGTATAATTAGAAGCACTGCATTATATTCCACCAAAAAACAATGTAAACAGAGAATTACTGAAAATATGGAGTATTGACTTTAACAGACGGTTCTGCTGCAATTTTACAGCGAAGGGTTGCAAGGGCCTATGAAGAGACATTGCAGCTCAAGGGTCAATACTATGATAGGCAATAATGCCTCCATCAGATTCAAAAGTCAGTCTAAATTGCACAGACCCCCACATACTCCAGAGGCTCTGTCATTGAAGGTGCTGCTAACACAATATTATTTCAGGGCTCCACTGGAAATACTTTATTTTGCAGGTCATTGATCCAACAGAGTCCTAGTGGTGTGTTGGGGCAATGAACTGACAACTAAAATGATCTGTGGAGTTGGTGCGGTCGCAAGTTCACTTGCTACAAGACCTCCTTTGGCATTTTTGATAGAAAGCTCTTGCTGGGAAGCCCTTTCTAAGTGGGGAAAAATCATTCTTGCTGTGCATTTGTCTATATATGCTTACAAAGTTGCAGTGGGCAAGTTCCAGTCATTTCACTGACTTTCATATATGCTCTGCACTTAGGATCTTCCTGTTACTCTTTAGAGAAGAAGAAGAAGCAGCAGCAGCAGCAGCAGCAGCAGCAGCCTGGAAGCAAATTTGCTATTTTGTTGGTGATGATTCAGTAACTCCTGCTTAACTTCCTCACAGGGAACTCTTATTGATGTCAATGGGACTGCAAGCCAGGCCCTGTGGTTCTTTTGCTTTTTCTAAGCACGGTGTTAAAATTTAACTCCAAATTCATAGTTTTATTCTACTTCAGAGTCAGATATAGTTATCTCAGTATAATAAATCATTGTTCATTAGGTAGAGAAGGAGCACAGTGTCTGCACACTAGCACAGCTGATGTGGTGGTGCTGTTCTACAGCCCTCCTGACAACAGGGTCACTATGCTTCCTGGGCAGGGAAGGAGTGAGGTTGGGGCTAGGTGAGCATTCTGGCAGAACCAACCTGCACCCCCTGCCAGTGTGTCCACGCAGCCCCAGCCTTGCCACCTTCCTTCCTTCCTTTCCCCTGGAGCATATCAGCTGTGGAGCAGAGACATTGATCCTGTGGGGTGCAGAGTGCTTGTCTGTAAGTATGCCTTCCCCACAGAGAAGCTGAATGTGAAGGAAGACCTTGCAGCATTGAACCCTCCATTCTCATTGTAGGAATGATCGCTGGGTCCGGAGCACACTCCGCACCCGCAGGAAGCCTCAGTCTGCCTACATGCGTGACCTTGGGGTGCGGGGCACACTCCCCCTCAAAGACAAAGCCACAGCTGTCTGAACATCATGCCCTCTGTCTAACCTTTTGCGGTCTCAGTAGTCTGCGGTGCCCTGTCTGTAACCTTTGTCTCTGAGATCTTTGTCTCCTTCATCATACACTGTGCAAGGGGGAAATGACGTGGTGGAATCAGGTGCCAAAATAACTTTGTAACACCCCACGATCTCGGAACTGGAAGATGTGTAAAGGTCATAGCCCAAAATGTATCTGCCTGGGTTTGCATATTTGTGTCAATAAAAGGAGCCTCCACAGAGCTGGCCAGCAGCTTGCTTGCAGCTCACCTGCATTATCAACTCCTGCCTCATGTCCTTCACTTCACTCATGGGGGAAGCGGAGATGCCGTATCCCCCTTCCCACTCCCATCTGGCCCCTAGGAC